TGGTGTTGGCGCCGGCGCCTGTGGCGCGGGCGCCAGGTAGTTCGTGCCGAAGCAGCTGTGGTATTCATTTCAGAGGGACAAGCTACCCCTAGGGATAAGTTTCCAGCGAGCTTGGCTGTTCGTACATCTTTATTCTTAGAACAATATAGTGGCAGACACCATTGTCTGCCATCGTCCCATGACAGACTGGCTGTCAGCCACCATTGTCTGCCATCGTCGTCAACGTGTTAAGTATGGGGAATACCAGGAGAAGACCGAGCGTTTCACCTTTTTTTCAAATAATGCAGTACTGGTCCGGAAGATAGTCAATTTAGTTTTTCAAATCTCTGTCAACTCTAATGAATACCTAACCGCGAAATGATGGAATGCTTGGGTGGTACGCCTCTAGCCACTGCGCTTTGCTGCTGTGCTAACCCGGTCATAACTCGAAAAACTCTGTAATGGTTAAAAGATGCAAATTGCTGTAGGACATACGAGCAGGAAGACTTCCTCAGTGATCTTTGAACCTTTACAAATGGCTCTACGACCCATCAGATATTCTCTGCAAGTGTTCTAATGACTAAAGAGTTTCTACGTGATCGTCCCGGCTTCCTTTGAACTTGCTTTCCGATATTTGCTACTCTTCAGATTGTCCGCGTTTTATGTTTTTGATCTGTTTTTGTTTGCGGAGGTAGTGTAGCGACAAGTGGAGCGCTTACCACTCGCGCAGTTCTGGGTTCGAATCTCGGGTCGAACGAAGATTCTCACCTCCAGTGACGGTAAATTGGTACCAGATTCGTCTGGGAGAATAGAACACTGACTTGTACATCGGCTGGCCCCCGCAAGTCATTGTATAGGCCACATCGCATTCAGTAAGCCACTACGATTCTGAACTATTACTTCATCATTATCTACTCGTCAGTTATCTATTATAATATTCATTACATAAGCTGTTTGTACTTTACTATATCTCTAAAGTTTTTCCATTCCGAACTTTTCGATGGGAGACGGCCAGGACAATCGCAGTTCGCTGCGTCGTCGCGTGACGCGTATCATGCGGCTATGCGCGGCAAATTCTTGATGTGCATTGCTTGTTGACTGGAGCAGCGAAACTCATATGAATTCAAGGCAAGACACTGAAATGGGAGAAGTTATCGAACATTCCTTCTTTAACAGTCAAATTCAAACGGACCAAGGTGGAAGAACTCGTCCGTTCACGGAGCGCGTCGTCAGTTGCCGCAGCTCACATGCCGATTCCCTTGTCTTGACCCCTCCATCGAAACTTATGTCACTCACATCTACTGCTTGCAATCGTCTCTTATTAGGAGCAGTGTTCAGCGCTTATAATTTAAAGAGTAGACGACATCTTAAAGGACTTCGTTGTGCGGAATGTTGTGATTCCTGCAATGAATACGAGGACCTTTGCCCAACTTCAAAAGCGGGAGGAATTCCAGGGAAGGGGAACCGTTAAAGGCACAAGGCACGAGTTTTGGTACTCGATCGTCACAGAACTGCTAGCCATAAGTGCTATATCAGAGGGGAAAGCGACGAAAAGTGAAGTGAAACGGTCACAAGGCTGCAAAAAAAGCCCTTGTCCTAACCGACTTGGAAAGCAATTTCGGACGAGTTTCTCGAGTTAGCATCTCGAGTTAGCATCGTGCCAATGGCATCTACGGCTGCATGTATGTACGCGTATATCCATGCAGCACCTCAACCGCTTCATATCAATCCCTTCGCCTAAGGTTGTACGAAGCGATAGGAGCACCAGGATCGGTCGACATTTGTGGGCGGGCTGGCGCGATGGGCGTCCAGGTCGATATGTTGCGGCTTAGTAGGGCCCCGTAAAGATACCTTCCTTGAGAAGGCGCGACGCAGCGCCTGCTCAGATGCGCCGAAATCTGTCCTGCGAGGAGTATTAGTCCTACACGTCTTGACGATTTATCATGCCACTTGACTTCGAAGAACGGCACCTGTATCTGGATGACGCTAGCCCCACTTTTACAAGGGGACCCTAGAAATGCCCCGCTATTCCTCCTTAGATTGTTGGCGTCGTGGGTTTGTAAGTTCAGCGAGTTGACCAGCAGTAGCCGTCCTTCCGATTTCCGAAACACCTCTGTAGTGAAACGTTTTACAATTTTTGCATTTCTACATTTTCAACACCTTCCATATTATGTTGTGTGCTCTCCTGAATTTATAATAAATATTGTATATGCAGCTAAGCCCCAAGGCGGTCAAATGGTCCAGGACAATCATATTCAGGGTTACTTTGGTGCTTGAGCAGACTGATCTTTCGAAGCTCTGGCAAAAGCGGGAGAGATGCACCATATGCTCACAATCGGTGCCTAGAAGTCGATCTTCTCTTCGGATCCTTCTCTAATGGAACCAAGCTCGTAATACCTCCGAAATTATAAGAGCTGTCTGAGAGGATAAAAACCTTGAGTTCTACATTGACTCGCTCATCAGGGCACATCATTAGTTGACGATTTTAGTCGACTTCCGTACCATTCCCCTTTCTAAGGGGTACGACCCCCCCTAGTTCCCTCCTCTGATACGATCGAGCTGTCGAGCGATGGTGGGGAGGGGGGCAGAGGTATATAACACATGTGAAAAAAATCACGAGGAGAATACGACCCTTCCCTTCTTATCACACCTGCCACTTTTTTAGATTTCTCCAATTTCCCACCAGTTTTTTCGGTATTTCTCGAAAATTTTCCTACTTTTTCCCCAAAATTTTTTCCTGTCGAGGGGGGCGGAGGGGGGAGGGGAGGAAGGGCGAGCGGTACATAATACATATGAACAAAAAAAACCACGAAAAGTCAACAACCGGAGGACTTTTTCTACACTATTTCTCTAAAAAAAAAGGAAAGACGGCGGACCCCCCCACCCTCTCCCGCCAGCAGCAAGAGCAAATACGCAACCCCTTTTAGCGTCCCTAAAACATAAAAAATCAACGTTATAAAAGAAATTTCTTGACCAAATACAAGCTCATTCCGCTTTATCAAATAGATTCACCCGCAACGATGTGCCTGTCGTTTATAACTAGGTCGCGGTATATCGGGCCAAACCTACGAGGGTGTAGAACTGTTTTCTCATCCGAAATTCTTCTAATTTCGTTCCAGTTACACTTCCCTCTGGGTGCTGCGGGAAATTTACTGGTATCAACAGAAAATCATGCCAAGGCTGTATCACTTGTATCACATGTGCTCCTAGGTTGATCCGCAATTGTTTGAATGCAGCGCACATTGGACGTCTCCCATTCGTCCGGCCCGCAACACGCTAGTTTGCACCATGGATTCTCGAAATACACGATCATACCATCCACTTAGAGCTCCTTCGATCGAGTAGGTGGCCATTCAGGTGTGCTTGTCAATCTCCGCGGAATTCGCGTTGGTAACGCTCTGATCCGGGCACACGAGATCTGTGTCATGACGTGCACGGCTTTCCTATTTCGAACCTTAGGCAAAGGGGCTGATCCTTAATCGCAACGATAGTGAGCCTCAGCTCCCTCCATCAGATTGGGCTCTAATTGGCCTCGTGCAAGTTTCCTCCAGTTCTGCTCTTCTTATACGAGCTTGGGTAACCCTTTGCCTTCTGACAGGATAGAAGCCCACTGCCCCTTGCAATTTTTTTTGCCCGCGAACCTGTAGCAGGGTCCTTCGTCGGCACACTCCACATTGCTGCTCATCCAACACGCCATATTTTCAACTTGTATATCTGATCACAGACCGTGCCTTTAAGCACGAATTCTTACAGTATTCTTTACCGTAATTTAAAAGGATTTCTAATGATTGATTTTCAGCATGTCGATGACAGATTTACGTATCGAAAAGCAGTACTCATTATGTGGACTGTCTCTGCGTTGTGCTACACAGATCTGTACTGCAGCACAGGCGCTGATATGCCTCGTCTTGGGGTGAGTCACGTAATCGGCCAATTGGTGCCGTTTTTCTTTCGCCAGCAATCTCTTCACTCGCTAATCGGATTTGCCACTAAAGCAATAAATGTTTTAGGCGTCTTTTCCGACAAAGGCAATCCATCCATTCACAGATGTTTGCTAAATGTTTTGACGGCTTAAGGGAGTAGAACGAATGGTAAAGGGAAGGGAATATCCTTGAAGGATGAGGGGGGGGCTAGAATGGAATAGCAAAAGTCAATACAAGCATGGAGCTTTCCGGTGTTGATTATTTCTCGGGGATGCACTACGCAGTCTCCACCAATTAAACTGCAAAGCTGGGAAAAATAGTAGAAGTTGGAAAATTTAGGGAGATAGCAGATATGAAGGGGAAACGAGGGTCATACAGGAGGAAGAAATTTGGGGAAAGGGGCGTCTGACCGACGCTGTACAGTGTCTGCAGTCATTGTCCTAATCCCAGTTGGCCCATAACAGGGTATCGCCTGTCTGGGCCTTTTCCTTGCCTTCAACTTCCTTTCTTTTGCATTCTTTTTCAGTTCCCACTACTTCCCTCTATTCTATCTCAAGCCTCACAAACTTCCAAAATGGATCTAGTGTAAACCTGGTATCGCTTTGCCTTCTGGCGATATTCTTCACCACTCTGCCCCTACAAAAGTTTTACTACCCAGATTTATTGCAAGACAAGATACACCCCCCCCCTCCGCCCAAAACTTCCGCGCTCTGGGTGGCGCACCCCCCCCCCTACCGCACACTTCCCCCTCTCCCATCCATACTACCTTCCTTATATCCCCCCTTCCTACCCACTTTTCTAGTTTATAGAAAAAATTCTTCGCCAGCTTTCTTAGGGCACATGTTTAGTTGGGGATTTTGGTCGGATCCGTACGACCCCCTCCCCACCCTTTTTAGGGAGTTGGTACATCCCCTGGTTCCCTCCAGCACATATGAAAGGGGGAAAACTGCGAGGAAAATACGACCCCCCCCCCCTCTCTCTACCATTTCACAGATTTCTCCCGGAGCCCGACTGTCCTTTCCTTCTTTCAACCCAGAAAATTTTGCTATAGACAGAGTAGTAATGGGGGGGGGTGGGGCAGGAAAAAACGTTTTTAAAAAAATAGCAAGTGTGAAACAGGAAAAAACCACCGAAAGAAAGTTAGCAACCTCGCTCAGACGAGGGGAAGGGAAATGCGACTTCCTCCCCCTCCCCACAACGACCAAATACGACCCATCCCTTCACAACGTCCCTGAAACAAGAACAGTTACCTATCAAAAAAATTTACAAATACGACAACCCTGTCCAGGCGACCAATAAAGACCCCTTCCTCCCCTTGTTGGGGAATTGCCCGCAGCAACGATGTGCCTGGCCGCCTTGATGGCAGAACGGGAAGGAGAGTACATGCGCACTTGAAAATAGAAGAACCCGAGAATGAGTTTTGTTCTCAGAAGCAAAATACGACCTCTCACATCCCTGTACACCTGCCTCCTCCCGCTCCCACTAGGGCTCCTGAAGTGGGCCCACAACCCCTGTTGTAGCGTTGCCGTTTTGTGGATTTACCGTGCTACACCTGTTCAACCCCTTCATGAAGTTTCCCCAATCTTTCCAATGAAACTGTATTTGAGAGACCACCCTAAATGAATAGAACGTCTCTTCACATTGCAATCTCTTTGAAATTGTGTCGCTGACTTCTGTAGTTAATGTGCTGCAACTTTAGGATCTCCTACCGTATTCTGCTTGATCAATCGGTGATAGTATCGATCCTCTTTGGAATCCACATGTTCTGCTTTGCACTTTCGTTAATATTTCTCGTGTTCTGCTTTCTGAAGCGGAAATTTGGCACGTTTTACGAAGGTCTATTGCACGCCTATCTGTTGAGCATCGTGAAGTTCTAGATATCGATTTATCGATCAGAGTTCCGCCATCATTACTTTATTTCCAGTTGTTGATGGCTCTAACGTCGCTGTTTGCGGTTATGTTCTTACCATTGGCATTTTTACAACAATCCCATTCACTCGGTGAAGGTAGGACATTTCCTTCGCACTCTACTCGCAAGGTGTTTTATCAATTCATTGATTTTTCCGTGGTGGATACTGTATCATCAAAGAGTATAGACGCTGCATGGTACTCAAGTGATAGAGATAGTGTCCTGAACTGTTGCTATCGTGAGCCAGGGGCTTCATGGATCTAAAGTAGGAAATCAGTCGATGATGGAGAACTCGGTGATGAGCACCTCCTGTAGGATACGCCTCGCATCCAGCCTTTGTTGAGAAGTTCCCCTTTCGTTGACTTCTCGCAGTTTTTCCCTCGATTTAGTAGTCACACGGTGGCGACCTCGCCCACCCTCCGGCAATTTTTTTGGGGGCAGCTGGAAAATTTCTTGGAAAAACTGGGAATCCTCCAGCGACAGCGTGTGCCATGGCCGGTGTGCTCAATTCCAGGTCAGGGATATGCAGTGTACTAAATGACGAACAGGTGAAATCGCAGATAGTATTTGGTTCCTATGGTGAGCATAGGTGGTCGATCAGGTGCTGATATCACCCCGCTGTAGTCCAGTTCACTTCCAACTAGCTTGTCTTTCTGGGATAGAAATGATATGCGTGGCGCATGTAACAACTTTTCACTAATATTAACTACCATGACGATTTTTTTTTTTTTTTTCAGGTATCCACTATCTGCTGCTGTTCATCTCGGCCGCTGGAATGCTGACACTACAGTTTGTGCAGAGGAATCTCGTCGAACAAATGTTACCACTGATGGAATCCTGTTTCGTATAGACAGTTTCTCGTCGCTCATTGCCAAAAATGCAACAAAAGACCAGGAAGTTGATTTCGTGGTGGGACCATCACTAAAATTTAGTCCTCGGGTGTACTTCGGCCCACTGAAAACAAGTATCGCCCCTGCTTGGCTCAAAACCGTCTTTTGCCCAAGCGAAAACACCTCGAATCAAAAAAGGTATAACTGTGAATTTGTTCCCGGGGTATATTGACCTCCTAGACAAGGCTACACTTTAGCTTAAAACCATAATCAGTATTAGGATCAGAATATAACCTAAATTAAGAAGAGTGAGGCGGTAAAGGGCAAATATGCCCGGGGGTCCGATATGTGTGGGCCAAACTCTCCATGAAAAATGTCTCTAAGCTGTTGCACCAGGAAGAGCCCCACCTTACTGGACCAGCGCCTTTCCTTTGATTCAGCTCCCTGCCTCTCCCTTTCCCCGAGATCCAAATATAAGCTCACTGAAAATGTCACCAAATGGTCCCGCCACGAGGTCCTCTGCAACCAATTTGACTGTCGACATTTTTTTGCAAAGATTCAAGCTCATAACGGGTTGTCATTGTCAACGTGACGTCACAATATTTGATTTCCGGGTTTTCCTAATTATTATGTAAAATACCACTTACCGTTGTCAATAAACTCAGCACTTACCGTTGTCAAGTATGGAAATGTTCAGATCGAGTTTCGTAAACCAGAAATTCTATCGGGAGACGGGCAAGAGAACTGTAAATTGCCGCTTTGTCGCGCGCGGCAATGGGTGCGACGTTTCCGCAATTTGCAGTACCCTTTCGACTGGAGCATCGGATTTCATGTAGACAAGAACTTGATAGACACTTATGTCTATTTTTGGACATACATTGTCCATTCACGACCAATGCCACCTAAAATCGTCGTCATTGGCGGGCGCGACGTCGCACGTCGAATTACGATTCTCTTGCCACATACCCAGTTCTCCCATCTCACTAAACCTTTTCATTTTGATGTGGTGTTGTCCATTGTTTTGTGTTTGTTTTGTGATTTTCTACAAGCTGTACAAGCTGTTTATTGTTCTTTACAGTCAGTCGTGATAAACTGTCAAGAATTGTCCTCCACCTGGAAAATGTGACCTAGGGGCCTCTTTTTTGGCAAGCTAGACTATTAGAGAAATGTGTAAAAAGTCGCTAATACTGATGGATTTTCGGGATGCGCCCCGCATTTCATTTCGATGAGGGGTTTTGTTAGAATTTGATTCCGTACTTACCATTAGGCCTCGAATTGGCTTTTTTGCTCGCTGCGGATGATGGGGCGTGTCAAGGGGGGATGGGTTTGGTGCGTCGTCAAATGGTTCTCTTTTTTTCGAGAAGCGGCGATTCGGTATCAGATCGTTTGTATGGAACATTTTCCACCAACTACTGTCGCTTACCCGCTTCAACAAATGGAGAACGGGCTGGCGGAGAGCCAAATCCAATCTCACTGGCACGCCCTCGCAGCAAACAAGACTGTACAGATTCGCATTCGTTACGCAAATAAACGGTTATATCGTCACAGATGAATCTATTCCCAGATAGGTGGCGTCAAGAGATGAAAAGGACTAATACTGTCAATATGGGATTTTATGTGGACCTCATTACGCACGCGATCCCGCGATCAAATCCGGCTCAGCTCCTGTCCAAGAAGAGCATTGCTAATTTAAACGGAAAAGAAACCTCTAGAAAGAAGAAAAAAGGATGAATTTTCTCATCAATAAACTTATGCATTGGTAGGAAAATAAAAGCTCCTACAATATGGTAAATTGATCCTGATCCGTCTGGGAAAGTATTATGGGATAATACTGATTAGTACATCGGCAAGTCCCTGCACGTCACTGCATACATCTTGTCACTTTCAATAAGTTACTACGATTCTGAATCGAAGTTGAATACGCTTCGCTTTTCAAAAACAGATGGAACAAGCGTGAAAAGTGGGCGGAGTCAAGTGTACTACATAGTAAAAGCGTATTCAAGTGTGTGATATGTTCTATGTGTGTAATAGATAAAAAGTGTGAAAAACTGCTGTAACATCCATATATAGTGTAAAATGTGTAAATTGTGACGCGGCCAAAAGAGGCGGAGTTGTCTGGGGGCGGGCATGTAATGGGGCCCATTGTGTGCAGAAAATGTGGGGGAGCTTCGCGCAAGATTGGGAAAAAAGCCAGTTCGCGGAAGAATCTTAGAAGAATCCTACTACTACTTTCTGTCCTTCTGAAAACGTGAAAACTGTTCTATTCATAGGATCTGTTCCCATTGCCATGAAAGTAGTAGCGTCACTTGTTGTTGCTTTACTTCACGACATACCAGAAATGGTGGGAAATCCTGCCTTGTCCCGATGAGCGAATGATTTCCATTGGATGAGCGAATGATTTCCCGAACTCGACACTCACTGTCAGATGCCATTTACAGTAATGGAAAAAACTAAGGATTAACCATGGACACACGCTTCCTATTGATTGCCAGACCTTTTGAATTTGTTCGTGGAAATTTACTTTAGCTCATGGATATCTAGTTTTCTCAGATTAAATCTATCTAAAGATGCTGTTTCAAAGAATTGGTCGGTTGGTTCAGGTTGTGGTCGGGACACAATGGTGAAGTACACTCCTTATCCCTAAGGCAGCGTTCAGACTTCGCGACGGCAGCGCTTCAGTCGCGCGTTCGACGCGATCGATGCAGTCGAAAGCATGCGCATCGATCGCGTCAAACGCGCGACCGAGGCGCTGCCGTGGCGAAGTGTGAACGGTGCCTAAGACGGAGTAGGCGTGGCATTCGAACATGGTGTAGGCGGTGTTACTATTGGGATGTTTCACTTTGAGACAACTATCATCTTGTTCAGTGTTGGACGAATAGTTCACAATTGTCCCAAGATGGAAATATCTTATGAAAACCTTGGCCACCGCCACGATCAACTTAAGTACGCAGCCATGCCTACCCCATCTCACGGATTTCGACTGTCCTATATCCTGGTATGGCACGCGTCTACAGCTCGAGGATGGCTCGGTTTCCAAACT